TTACCTGGCGGCCGGCCGGCCGGCCCCACCTCCACCTGGCAGGAGTTGATGGCGCGCAGCCTCAGTCTTCAGACAGTGTCACTGCCCGGCCCCGCAGGCTTCTCTCCAGGTTGCTGGCTGCGGACAGAACTGGAAGAGACCCAGAGGAAAGGCAGGGAAGGTGTTCTTACCTGAAAGTGGAAAGGAAATGCACTGTGCAGGCGGGCGGCAGCCGGCGGGAGAGCTCCAGAGCTGGAGGAAAGGGGAAAGGCATCTTTTGTATCCAACATTTTCAGGTTACCCCTCCCTCTCTCTTTTGTTTTTAACCTCTTTCTCACAAATGAAACACTGGGAAAGTAGTCTTAGCAAACACTTGGCAAAACTCCTTTGGCTTCCCACTGTATGCAGATGAGGGATCAGGAATAGTGTCTTTCCGTTGGCTGTGTTGACATGCAAATGAAGGATCACAAGCATGTTTCCTGATCCTGTGAAGCAGGATTCAAAGAAAGGATTGAAGATGGCAAGCTTCTGATTGGTCCACAGTAGCACTTTTCTGATTGGTTCTGTGCATAGTGAAGATAGCGGTACTATATTGGAGGTGCCCTGCCTCAGCCTCCCCAGTGCACTACCACAGCCCGCTCTTCCAGCTTTCAGGTAAACGAGTATAGGTGTGGATGGGTTTTCAGTAGATTCCAAAGTCAGCCCACAGGGCTCGGCTTCACTCAGTCTGCAAGTGAGAGCCATATTTCCCGCCACCCACCCTATTCCCTTGGGGTCCTACAGGCACTGGGGAGTTCAGCCCCGTCCCTGAATTGTACCCACCCCACATACTCTTCTCAGGCAGCACTGGGAGACACCGAGCTGGCCCTGTGCCCCCTCCCTGTGCTCCCACGTGCCCACTCTGTGGGGGGGGCTGGGTTTGGGGTGTTGCTGGGACAGCGGCTTCACTGCTGTGGCTGCAGGCTGACCTTCCTGAGCTGAGCAGGTGCTCAGTTGTTGAGAGCTCCCGTTTTCCGGCAGCAGCGGTCTCGGGAGGTGACTTCATTACACTCAGAGGTGGAGAGTTCTGATATCTTGAGGGGTATGGACAATAATATGAAAAAGGATGCGAAAACACAACAGAAGAGGCCTCAGAAAATCCAGATGTTCACACACCCCGTCAGCCAGCTCCTTCCTGGGGAGAGGGGTGGCCTCAAGGTGCAGCTGCAGAGATGGGCACTTTGTTTTTTTTTTTTTAATGTGGCTCTGGGAATTCAACGTGGGACCTTTGCACCAAGCTACATCCTCAGTCTTTAAGTTTTAATTTTTTTAAATTTTGAGACAGAGTCTCGTTAAGTTGCCCAGCAACTTGGACTCAAACTTGCGATCCTCCTGTCTCAGCCTTCTAGAGTGCTGGGATTACAGGTGCGTGTGTGTGCATTTGTCTGGCAAACTTCCTGCTGGTCCATCCTCTTGGGTTTTCTCCTTGAGACATGGCGCCCGGCCACCTGGGTTGATGCCTCTCCAGGCAAAACCAACTCAACTTCTCTGACTACCGGTTTTCTCATACACAGAATGAGTGAAGGTAGTCTTCCGGGCTGTGAGAAAGATTAAGTGAGATCATGTGGGGTCCATTTAGTAAGCGAGACCACACCGGCTGGGCTGTTTGCTGTTTGTGTGCTGGTCACCTTGCAACTCTTCTTTTTGTTTTTGAGTGTTTTTTTTTTTTTTTTTTTTTGGTACTGGGGATCGAACTTGGGACCTTGAGGCAGGACCACTGAGATAAATCCCCGGCCCGTGCAAACTCTTCAAAGCACAGTCTTTTTAAAAGACGGTATAGCCTCTATTTGAATTTTTTTTCTAAAAATAGTTTTGAGCTAAACTCACATCCCATACCATTCACCCACTTAAAGGCTACAAATGTTCTTCCTTGCCATATTGCTTTATTAATATGCCCAAAGCTATCAACCCGAGCCATCTGTTTGTCTCCTCCTTGGGATAAGAAATATGCACAGGTTATGAGGTGGGGCTGGGCAGGCTGGGGTGGGGTGGTAAAGGAGGAAAGACTATATCTAAGTTAAGCAATGACAGAGACTTGAAAACGGGATTTGGGGCGGGGGCTGGGGCTCAGTGGCAGAGTGCTTGCCTAGTGGGTGCAGAGCCTTGCGTCCCATCCCTACCCAGCACCAGCTATGCAAAACAGAAAGGTGCTTTAGACCGTACCGCCACTCTGGGGCGGGGCTGGACGGAGGCCAGGAGGGACGGCAGCGGGCAAGGCCGGGTGGGGCCCTGGACTGGTTCTGGCCTAGGCTGGAGGGCAGCGGAGGGGGCGTGACGGGGGCGTGGCGTCCCCCTGCCCCGCCCCCGCATTGGCAGTTGCTGTGCAGGAAAGAGGAGCCTGCCCCAGGGGCTGGGGAGCTGGGACAACCTGTTCTGGAGGCGCAGCCCGGAAGCGCCTGTGCAGGTGGCCTGGTCTCCGGGTTCCTCTTTGCCTCTGAAGTCTGGAAGGGGAATTCAGCAAGAAGGACGCAGTCTGGAGCTGGCTCAACCTCCTCATAGGGGCCTGTGCGAGCAGGGCTTTTCTGTCCCTCCTGGGCGCCTTCCTCCTCCTCTGTCCTACCGGAGCTCTGGACCCTGACCCGGGCTATCGCCCTCTGCAGGTACAGAGCTTGGATGCCCTGAGCAGCCGGGCCTGTCAGGAGGCCTGGCCCTCAGAGGGAGCAGTGGGGCTGTGGTCCAAAGAGATGGCAAGTGTTGTATTATAGCAATTATTACAGCGGCTGACTTGTGGCCACGGATATCCCCAGAATCCTCCCTTCTGTGAACAGGCTCATCCCATCGCTCTTAGCACGTCCTGTAGCAGCTCTGGAGTTGTCTTTTGCAAGGTCTTCACCAAGTGTGACTACAAATACAGTGACTGCTGCTGCCCAGCGCCATCCAAGGGAAAGGCAGCTGGTAAAAGCAGGACGCTGTGTCCTCGTCCACCTGAGTCACTGGGTCTGGCACCGTGGGACTCCTGGCTCCTCCCCAGAGTCACAGTGACCATGAAAGGGAGATGTTTTGATCCATTCAGGACATGGAGGCAGCCAGGCGAGTGCAGCGAAAGACCCTCAGGAAAGAGGACTCCAGAGCTGCTGCGGGAAGTGGCGAGGAGGAGGGGATGAGTGTGGTCAAAGTGAAGGGGGTTCACAGCAGTGTCTTTTACTGTGATACATTGAAAAATCTAAATACCCCTCTTTCCTGCTCCCAGAGATGGGAGCTGGAGACCAGCTGGCCTCATCCATGAACTGGCAGGCCAGAGGCCAAGCTCCCCATCCTGCTCTCTGGACGAGGGAAGAGGGCCTGCTCTTGGACAGCAACCCGCTGAGCCTCACTGAGGCCTACAGACCCAACTTCTATCCCGAGTGCCCAGGTGTTGAGTGGCATCCGGCAGTGGAATCTCAGAGGCTGCTCTCTGGGCCCTGGAAACCTGGCTGTAGGAGGCACAGGAGGGCAGGAAGGCATTGCCCAGCAGCCTGTCTGTGGGACCATGGCTGCCTGCCTCTGCCCACTCCAGGAGCCCCTGAGGGTTCTGGGGCATCCCGGGGGTGCTGCGGGTGGGATCACAAGGGGCTCCCAGCTGCTGTGCCCCCAGCCCTGCTCTGCTAATGCCCGTGGCTGGTGCCTGACACTGTCCCACCCCTGTGGCTGTGCCTTTGACCCACCACTCCTGAGGCTTGGAGGCTCAGCGGTGGAGGCTGGTGACCTTGCTGCTTCAGGGCCACTGTCCTCTCTCTGGGCTCCATGCAAGGACGAGGCACACAGCGGATCCTTTGGAGTCAGAAGGAGCAGACAGCTTTGATCCCTTTCCTGGAGGTGGGAGATTCGAGGCAAAGGCAGGGGCCCTCCTGGGGCTCTGGGTGCTTCTGATCCAGAGTAAGGAAGTATGTGATGAAGCTGCAGAGAATTATAGCATTGCTGGGTGTGGTGGCACACACCTGTCATCCCAGCACTCGGGAGGCTGAGGCAGGAGGATCGCCATGAGTTTGAGGCCAGTCTGGGCTACATAGTGAGACCCTGTCTCAGCAAACAAGCCAACAAAAGTCCCAGAATCTCAGGTGTCATACTGGCAATACATTGGTGGCCAGCTGGCCCAGTCTCCTCTGCAATCCAGAGGAAGGAGCCACAGATTCAGAGGTCTGGGAGAAGTTACAGAACTGGCCCAGAATGTTCTGCAGGTTTGAGCCAGGAGGACAGAGCATGCCAGGCCCGGCAGAGCACACGCCAGCTCGAGTCAGTGACCCCAGAGGCCAGGACAGCCCGAGGCCACCTGTACCTGCCCGGCTGCTGTGCGGGAATAGTGCAGGCCCTGGTCCCCCTCCTGCCAGCCCGGCCATGTCCCCACCCCAGAGACCGGACAGGACGATGCCACAGGGTGCAGGGCCGGAAGGCACCTCGGGGACACTTGCTCCAGGCAGGTGGCCAGGGAGGGTCTGCACTTTTTTCTTTTTTGCAGCACTGGGGATTAAACCCAGGGCCTTTGCCCTGAGCTACAGCCAAGTCCTGATTTGGAGATTGAGTCTTGCTAAGTTGCTAAATTGCCTAGGCTGGGCTTCAACTCTTGATACTCCTGCCTCAGCCTCCCAGCATGCTCATGTTACATCACGTACTGTCACACCAGCTTTGTTCTGTTTCTGAGATGGGGTCTCCCCGCCTGTCCCAAGCAGGACTTGAGTGCCTGGGTGCCCATGATCCTCTCTGCCTTCCCAGTGGCTGGGATTCCGGTGTCCATGCCCAGCTTGTGTTTTCTACTATTTGTTTCTGGGCTAGTGCAGCACCAGCCACACTGGTTTTGGGAAAGGCATGTGTCCCCTACTGTGGCTGCTATCCCTGGGGTCCCCCCGGTGCGTCTGCCCCTCCTGGCTTCGGGTCATGCCCAGCTGCAGCCGTGTCCGCCAGAATGCCCTGCAGAAGCTGCCGACTGGACGCACACTTCCCCCAGCAGGGAGCCCCTGCGCCCCGGGACACTTCACCGCTGTGCCCTCCTCTTCCTTTCTCATGGGAGCCGTGGCCCCTCCCCTGGTGGCCTCAGGGCAGCTGTCCTTGCTCTCCTGCCTCAGGCTGGTCAGCACCCCGGGCTTTGCGTTTGGCCTAGTGCTCGGGGCCACCCAGCTGGGAACAAGAGCAAAGTCACGGCCAGTGGAGGCCTTGTCCTTGACGGGAGAGAAGAACGAGTTCGGGGAGATGGAATCCCAGACTCAGAGAGCAGGGAGGGCTGGGTCCCAGGGCAATGCTTCCGTTCTGCTGGTCACAAGGGCCCGGCCTAGAGAGGACGAGGATGTTGGGAGCGCTCGTCTGCCTCTGGTCTGTGACCGGCTCACCCCACAGAGGCCCGAGACCTCACACACTGCCTGCCAGCCCTGGCCTCTGAAGCCACCCGCTGTCCCCTTCTCTCCCGTGCCAGCTTTGAGGGACTCTGGGAACAGCAGGTCTGCAGGTGTCCACTCCCAAGGGAGCGGGGGTGGGTGGCAGTGTCCTTCACCAGCGTGGGGCTGTGACTGCTGTGTGGAGCCGTCATCCAGTTAGTATTTCACCTGGGGGCAGCGTGAACAGGCTGAGAGCTGCTGCCACCGGCGTCCCAGCCTCGGTGTCTGGTGCCATCTGGGCTGTGGCTCCAGAAGCAGCAGCGTTTGACTCTGAAACCCGAATCGCTAGGCCGGGACGCTGGGTACTGTCAGAACCGGCCTCCCAGGTCCAGTCCTGCAGCCCTGGTGCTGCCAGACTTCTGCAGGTCAGAGGTAAGGGGAGAAGGGGAAGCCGGCTGTGGTGGCTCACCCCTGTAATCCCAGCACTTGGAGGCTGAGGCGGGAGAATTCCTGTGAGTTCCAGGCCAGCCTGAGCTACATAGTGAGACCCTGTCTCAAAAAGCAAAACAAAAACCAACACAAACATGAACAAGACCTGAGCACTGTCTTGACAGCCCTGGGGTAGAGGCTCTAGCTGTTTTGAGTGACCCCTGGTGGGCTGGGCGGGTTCCCCGGGGGGTCTACCCAGAGCCTGAGATCTGGGTTCTGAGTAGTAAGGAGGAGAGGTTGAGAGGGGAAGCAGCCAAGCGGGTGGAGAAACTGAGTCTAGGGTGCTTTGGTGATCAACCGCGATTTTGGTTTTTTTCTTTTCTTTTTTTGAGGCAGGGACTCACTATGTATTCTGTGCTGGCCTCGAACTTGAGGTGACCCTCCTGCCTCAGCCTCCACAGTGCTGGGGAGTTTGTCTGGATAGAGTATGACACAGACTTTTAATGTAATCATTGTCCTGTTTTTAGAAGCCTGAGCTGTGGGCCTGGTGTGAGCCCACTTCTCCAGCGACATCTCAGGGGCTGGTGTCTCTCTGGCCATGCGGGTCCCAGGGCCTGGTCCGTGACCTCGGCAGCCTCCAGATCCGCCCCCCAACCATTGGTGGGGATCTGGTGGTCGGGAGCAGCTCCTTGTGCAAGGTAAGGGGGGACCCACAGTGACCCTGAACTTCAGCTGAACTGGGACCAGGACCAGAGCAGTCCCAGTAATGCCCAGATCACCCAGGTTTACACTGGCAGGAGCCCGGGTTCAGAGAGCACAAGTGGCTGGCTAAGGTCACACAGCAAGGTCACAATTGGCCTGGGGCTCCAGGCCTCTCTGGGGAGCGTCGGTGTGAGTGTGCATGCATGGGTGTGAGCACACTTGTGGGTGTGTGGATGATGTGCACACATGTTTGGGGCACATGTACACACTCATGTTCATGCATGTGTGCAAGGGGAGACAAAGCTGACCCAGCCCCTGCTGGGGCCTGCACCCCACGGCAGCACCCGGCCCAGCTGCGAGGTGAGTCCCCAGGTGTAAACCACTGTCTTCTCTGGGCTGTTTGCCTTTCTTAGTTCAGGTAGCAATTACCTGTTCTGAATATTTGGCAACAACTAGTTTTCCCCGAGAAGCAGGCTCTGCCCCACCTGATCCACTTCCTTAGCAGCTCGAGAGGGCGGGAGGTGGAGCACTGTGGGCAGGGCACCCTGGGCCAGGGTTGGGCACAAGTCCTCAGGAGGAGAAAGCTGCCCAGCACGGGCCGGGCCCTGGACACGGCTTCTGGCAGCTGCCCTATTTGGAGCAGAGTCCTGGTCATGTCGGCCTCTGGGCCGAGTCCTGGGTCCTGTGGTGGCCCAACCCTTGTCTCTGGGGCAGGGGCACGCAGTGGGGAGGGACACTTGGTGGGGGACAGAAGGGAAAGGATGCAGGCTGGATTGGAGGATCTCTTCTGGCTGTCCAGGCCCAGCCTGTTTGCTCTTTAGCTCTGGACTTTGTGGCTGGCAGAGTTGGCATTGCCATCCGCCCTTCACAGAAGTGGCTGGGTAGAGAGCCTCCTGCCTCAGCCTCCTGAGTGCTGGGATTGCGCCTTCCGTGATTTTTTCTTGTTTGCCTTCTGCTGGTATGGGGTGTCCCCCATGCTGTGGGGTGCCTGGCCACATGGTCCTGGGCTCCGGTGCACCAGGGCTGAGTGATAGTGGAATCCACACTCAGGCTGCCTCTGAGCTTCTGTAAGTTCCCGAGGTACTCTGAACCCCTCTTTCCTCATGACACCCATGTTTGGGGGTATTCTGCTGCATATTAGCTGTAAGCCTGAAATGGATGCTCAGGGCTCCCATGGACGCTGCCCCTCTCCATGAGCTGGGGCTGCAGGTGGTGACCCTCGCATCTGAGGCCTGGGTGAGACCCTTAGGCCCCCAGGAAATTTTGGGGACACAGGGTGTTTCCCCCTCTCTGGAGCTGAGAGCACCTCGCCCTGGTAGGGTGCAGGATGAAAGCATGGAGCACCCCCAGGAGAGCCCGGCTCAGTCCCTTCCTTAGGTTGGGGTGACCCTGGGTGTTTCCGGGATGGCAGGGACAGGGCTTAAGTGAGCTCTGCTGCACAACACCCAGCTGGGACGCGATGGGAATCCCAGGCCAGACCAGCTGCCCACAGCCCTGGCACAGCCACTCCCTCGGGCCACACCTGATGGTGGCAGGGGCCTGCTGGGCGCACACGGCCTCACACCAGGGCCCTCCCGCTGCGGCTGTGCTGCGTAAACACCAGGTGCGCACTGCCGGTTAGAGTTTCCACCTAAACTACCTGGCTTTCTGTCAGCCTGCCCTTCCCCGCCTGCACCTGGGAGCACCGTCTGTCCACCTGTGCACAGACCTGGGGCAGGTCGCCACTGTGACCCGCAGAGCCCAAGCTGGAGGGCGTGGAGTGTCTCCTGCCCCAAACCCCTCTCCTGGCCTGGGTGACAGCATAGCCCACCACTTCTGGTTTCTGTCTGTTCTTGGCCTACTGATGAACCCGAGCCAAGGCAGGCACTGAGGATGTTTGGGAAGTGGCCAGGGAACACTGAGGCGGCTTCTCGGGGGAGGCGGCGTTCCGCTGAAACACACAGCACAAGTCCTATTTCTTCGAGGAGGGGATGGTGTGGCCTGGGAAGTGACCGGCCAGTGGCGGACACTGCGTGGGGCCACCTTGCAGGACCTGCAGAACCTGTTTGTCATGGGCTGGGGACTTCTGAGGGCCCGAGGCCCCCAGGTGGGGAGGACAGCAGATGGCCCAGGGCAGCCAGCAGAGGTCAGGCAGGAAGGCTGCAGAGTGGCTGTGGGCGCTTTCCTGAGAGGTGGTGGTGCAGGCATGGAGCCGGTGACTGGGGATGGGGTACAAAGAGGGCGGAGGGCGAGGCCCGGATGTAGCCTGGGCCTGGGAGTCATTTCCTGCCCAGGACACAGCTTTCTGGAGGACACCGGTTCTTGGTCCCACACACCCAGGGGGACTGGCTCCCTGGGACCCCGGACATCATCTTAGCCTCGAGGGCATGTTTCCAGCACCCCAGGAAGTGTGGACACTGGAGCTTCACCATGGAAACCCTTCTCTAGCACCTCATGTAGGCAGCAAAGCCAGAAATGGTCCAAATCCAAACCTGTTTGCTTCTCTGGTGCCGGGAGGTATGTCTCCAGACCCCCCTTCTGGCCCTGGCTGCATCCACGAGACCCACAGAAGATGCTCAGAGTTCAGTTGGGCATGGTGTGCACACCTGGGATCCCAGCACCTGGGAGGCTGAGGCACTCAGCCTCACTGTGAATTCAAGGTCAGCCTGGGATACATAGCAGGACCCTGTCTGAAAAAACAGGCAGCAGCGGCAACAGAAGCATTGGATAGGGCTGAAGCCAGGGGTAGAGTGAGCCAGTGCTGGAAATGTCACCAGAGGGGGGCTGGCACCTGCTACCTGCTGTCCTGAGGGTCAGGAGAGATTATGCCTGTAGAGCACAGGTCATAGCTATTATTTTATGACTCAGGGCTTGTGTGACAGGCTTGGGGGCAGCTCCAGGGACAGGTGGGGCAGATGGAGAGGAAGGGCCCACTTCCCAAGGGGATGTCCCCTGGGCTGTTCTGCAGGGTACTCCGGCTTGGGCTCTGGAGAGACTGGAAGTGTGGAGGTCAAGGTGATGCGCTGCTGAGTTCCTCAGAAGATGCTTGCTTTCAGAAGTAATGGTGGCTGTGGAGGTTGCTGTGGCAACAGATAGCTTGTTCAGAAGACCCCTGACCTATGGGGTGAGGTGGCTGCTGCAGCCTGTGGCCTCCACAGGGAAGCCTCATTTTGGGCTTGCCTTTGTCTTCCAAACCTGGTTTAATTTTTACTTCCTGTGTTTGGGGAAGATTAAGCCGGCACATTGTCAAAGGTCAGAGTCCTCAGTCATGAGTTCGAGGCCACCGGAACTACATAGGGAGATGCTCTCTCAAACGGAAAAATTAAGAATAAAAAGGTCATTTCTGACTCAGGCCCTGCACACCGGGCGCTGAGCGCCTGCCCTGTCCTTCCGGCTGCCAATCGTCCACTGCCTGGTGGATGGCGCCATGCCGTTCACCCCAGTGGTGGCTGGTGGCTGTTTCGGGGCTGGTGGATGTGCTCTCTGTGGGCCGCTGTTCCGGGAACCGGGCTGACTCAGACCCAACTGAGCGGGCTGCTCACCCAAGGCAGGGCAGGGGTCCCAGGCCCAGCACAGAAGGGACTCAGCTGGCCACCTCTGCTCAGAGCAGTGTGTCCCCAGAGGCTGGTGCTGTCACCTGGGTCGCTGACCACAGGGCCTGCCTGGGGGACTGGGGTGCCCTTGCAGGGCTGCGCTGTGACATCTCCCGTGGCCCTGCCTCCACCTCCTCTGGTCCCCTTCCCCTTTGCGAAAGGCCTGTGCCTCTTCCGGCTTGCGGCTGTGGTCCCCCCAACCCCCCCGGCCGGTGTCCCCAGGCTTCCTGCTGGGCCGCTCCCCACGGCTGTGTGTGGTCAGCTTTCTCACCGTTTCCTGGGCCGCTCCTGGCTTCAGGCAGCTCCAGCAGCTGCAGGAACTGGGGGGACGTGGCTGTGACTCACGGATCAGAGACGGAGGCCGGTCTGGAGGAGTGTGGCGGGTATCCCCCCGGCTCTGGTGGGGCCTGCGGAAGACAGCGCACACTCATTGTGACCCGAAAACTGGGGTTTTCTGGTGGATGCACCACAGAGGCATAAACAGTGTGGCGCTCTGAGAAGCGAGGCCCCTCCCTGGGGGAGCCCCACATTCCCTCGGTGGCTTAACTTCGGTGTTTTCTGAGCCTTAAATTAGGAGATTTGCAGCCACAGTTTAAAATATATTTCCCAAGCCAGGCGTGGTGATCCTAGCACTTGGGAGGCTGAGGCAGGAGGATCAGCATGAGTTCAAGGTCAGCCTGGGCTACATAGTGAGAACCTGACTCAGGAAACCAAAGCAAAACAAAATCTCCCAGCAGCGGCCTGGGAGTGCAGTGTGGAAGGAGGGAGGTGGCCTGGGAAAGACAGGCCTGGTCCTGGCCCCACTGGCTGGATTTCCTGTTGCCGAAGTAGCCACTGTATGGATAGGACCTATCTCCAGGCCGGGTCAGAGGTGGCAGGTGGTGTGTTTGCCCTGTGTGCAAGGTCTTGGCTTGAAGAAACAGGAAACACAGGACCTGGGTCACAGTGGCTCCATCTCTGAAACCCTCACCTCATCCTGCAGAAGAAGGGACAGGGGCTGGGGTGCCCCGGGAGGTCAGGGCACGGTGGTCCGTGGTGGGTGGAGATTGTGCTGGCCACGGGCAGCCATTTCCCCATTGCCAAGGACCCAGGCTCAGGGAGAGTGACCCATTGCTTGCATTTTCTGGGAGCAGGCACTAGGGCCAGGTATCCTCACTGGGCTGTCCTCACAGGTGGCCCAGGCTGGCCTCAAACTAATGGCAATCCTCCTGCCTCAGCCTCCCCAGTGCTGGGACAGGGCTGAATTCTCCACTGTGAATTTCAGAGTTGGGCACTAGAGACAGCTCTTGACCCCCTTCTCCAGCACTGGGGACGCCTTCTATGCAGAGTCCTGGGTGCCCCATAGGGCATCCCGCTGGAGGTCACCCTGTGAGTATGTGAGGGCTGGTTGAGAAATATGGTGAGTCCTCAAATGAAAAGATTCG